ACATTGTCATGCAATAGATCTCTGGAACCTTTTCAGCTTGCAAAACTGAAAATCTATACCCATTAAACACTAATTCTCCCTTCCCCCAGCCCTTGACAACCATCTTCCTAATTTCTGCTTTTATGATTATGACTAATTTAGAGACTTCATATAAGTGGAATCATGCAATATTTGTCCTTTTGTGACTAGCTTATTTCACTTAGTGAAATGTCCTTGAGGTTAATCCATGTTGTAATAGGTGTCAGGATTTCCTTCTTTTTTAAGGCTGAATAATCTTCCACTGTATGGATATGCCACATTTTCTTTTTCCATCCGTCAGTGAACATTTCAGGTGCTTCCATGCGACTATTGTGAATAATGCTACAATAGATGGGTGAGTAATCATCTCTTTAAGACTCTGGTTTGGCCCTAACTGGTTTGGCTCAGTGCATAGAGCGTCGGCCTGCGGACTGAAAGGTCCCAGGTTCGATTCCGGCCAAGGGCATGTACCTTGGTTGCGGGCACATCCCCAGTAGGAGGTGTGCAGGAGGCAGCTGATCGATGTTCCTCTCTCATTGATGTTTCTAACTCTCTATCCCTCTCCTTTTCTCTCTGTGAAAAATCAATAAAATATATTTAAAAAAATAAAAAATAAAAAAAGACTCTGGTTTGAATTCTTTTGAATATATACCTAGTTGGATGGCTGGATCATATAGTAATTTTATTTTTAATTTTTTGAGGAACCTCTATACTCTTTACCATAATGGCAGCACCATTTTACATCCCCACCAATAGTCACAAGGGTTCTAATTTCTCTGTATCCTTGTCAACACTTGTTATTTTACATTCTTTTGATAGTAAAGAATGTAATGGGGGGGGTGGGTGTTGACAAGGTATCTCATTGTACTTTTGACTTACATGTGTATTATAATTAGCGATGTTGGGTATCTTTCTATATGCTTGTTAGCCACTTGTGTATATTCTTTGGAGAATTGTCTATTCAAGACCTTTGCCCATTTTTAATTGGGTTGTTTGTTGTTGCTGCTGTTGAGTTGTAAAAGTTCCTTATATATTTCGGATATAACTTCTTATCATTTTTATTATTTGCAAATACTTTCTCCCACTCCATAAGTTGGCTGACTTTTCATTTTGTTGTTTCCTTTATTGCACAGAGTTTGATATAGTTCCATTTGTTTATTTTCGCTTTTGTCACTTGTGCCTTCCGTCATATCTAAGAAATCATTGCCAAATCCAATGCCCTGAAACTTTTCCCCTATGTTTTCTTCAAGGAGTTTTATGTACTTTTACATCTTATTGTTAGATTTCTAATCCAATTTAAATATATGCTGTAAAGTAAGGGTCCAACTTCTTTTATATGTGGATATCCAGTTTTCCCAGCACCATTTGTTGAAGAGACTTCCCTTTTCCCATTGTGTAGTCTTGGCACCCTTGTCAATCATTTGGCCATATATGCAAGGGTTTATTTCTGGGCTCTCTATTCTGTTCCACTTGCCTAAATATCTGTTTTTATGCCAGTCACACATGGCCATGACCACTGTTGCTTTGTAGTATATTTTGAAATCAAGACCCTCAACTTTGCTATACTTTTTCAAGATTGCTTTGGCTATTCAGGGTCACTTGAGATTCACTTTTAGGATTTTTTTTCTATTTGCAAAGAATGCAGTATTTTATTCTTTTTTATGTTATAGTAAATGCGACCGATTTCCTTTTCATTGTTATTGTCAGTGTATAGAAACACTTTTGATTTTTGTGTGTTAATTTTGTATCCTGAAACTTTGTTGAAATCATCTCTTAATTTTAAGAGTTTTTGTAGAATCTTTAGGATTTTCTACATATAAGATCATGCAATCTGTGATCAAAAATAATTTTACTTCTTCCTTTCTAATTTGGATGACTTTTATTTCTTTTTTGGTATCAGAATAATGCTGGCTTCATAGAAGGAGTTTGGAAGTATTCCCTCATCTTCAATTTTTGGAAGAATTTAAGAAGGACTGGTATTAATTCTGCCTTAAATGCTTGGTAGAATTCTCCAGCGAAGCCATCTGGTCCTATACTTTTATTGGGAGGCTTTTGATTACTGTGTTATTCTCCTTACTAGTTATAGGCCTGTTTGGATTTGTTTAATTCTTATGATTCGGTGTTAGTAAGTTGTATGTTTTTAGGAACATATCCATTTCTTCTAGGTTATCCAATTTGTTGGCATATAATTATTAATAGAGTCTTACAATTCTTTTTATTTCTGTGGTATCAGTAGTAATGTTCCCTCTTTTATTTCTAGATATGAGTCTCATCGCTTCTCTTTTTCTTAGTCTAGCTAAAGGGATTGCCAATTTTTTTTATCTTTTAAGAAAAACAACTCTTGATTTTGTTTTTGTGTATTTTACATTTTCTATTTCATTTATCTCTGCCTTAATCTTTATTTCCTTCTCTGCAAACCTTTTTGTTTAGTTTGTTCTTTCCTAGTTTCTTGAGATATTGTTAGGTTGATCTATTTTAAACATAAGCATTTGATACTATAAATGTTCTTCTTAGTACTGCTTTCACTATATCCTATATGTTTTGGTATTTGTGTTTTCATTTTATCTCCAAATATTGTATGCATTCCCTTGTGATCTCATCTTTGGATCATTAAGAGTGAATTGTTTACTTCCACATTTTAGTGAATTTCCCTGTTTTGTTTTATTTCTAGTTTTATTCCACATGGTCAAAGAAGATATTTTGTATGATTTTAACCTTAAGATCATTAAGGTTTGGTTTGTAGTTTAACATGTCTTGGAATGTCCCATGTGCAGTTGAGAAGAATGTGTATTCACTCTGTTAGGTCCAGTTGGTCCAATTGTGTTGTTCAAGTCCTGTTTTCTTATTGATCTTCTGGTTGTTTTATCCATAATTGAAGGGGAGTTATTAAAGTTTCCTACTCTTTTTTAAAAGTATTTTTTTATTGATTTTAGAGAGAGAAACATTGATGTGCGAGAGAGCATCAAGCCTGCAACTCGGGCATGTGCCCCAACCGGGAATTGAGCCAGTGACCTTTTGGTGAAAAGGACGGTGCTTAACAGAGACACATGTGCCAGGGCTAAAGTCTCCTACTCTTACTGTGTTGCTGTCCATTTCTCTCTTTAGTTCTCATAATTCATATATTTGGGAGCTAATCTCTCTTTAACTATGATAGGATTTACAATTCTCATAGGGGTTATGTTTCACAATAGTGGAATGTAAATATTGCCTCAGGGAGATTGTATGCTCAAATGGCTGAAGATCTTCAGTGGCAATGAGGGCTTGGGCCCCTGGACCACTCTACTGCTTACGAGGCCTTCCATATCTTCCATACCTCTCGCCATGACCCAATGTGGCTTCTGTGTACTCCTCCAACTCTATTTCATAATGCTTCACTGCTCATAACTGTGCTCAAGCTACCTGACTGTAGCTGTTATGATTCTTTTTTGCACACTCCCCACTGGGGATGTGCCCGCAACCAAGGTACATGCCCTTGACTGGAATCGAACCTGGGACCCTTGAGTCCGCAGGCTGATGCTCTATCCATTGAGCCAAACCGGTTAGGGCTGTTATGATTCTTAACCACCCTTTTCTGCTTCAGCACACACAGTTTATACATGCATGTGCATTCATGTACACACAGACACAAACTATATTATTCAAGGTTTAGTATATATGAAAAATTTTCAAAGATTTCTATAATCTTCCTAATCTTTGGTGGCTTTTCATCATATAAAATGGCTTTACAGATGAAAATATTTTTTGTTAGGAAAGTATATTGGTCAACAAGTATAAGATATATGAGTTTGTTAGCCTGATTAATATATTACAATATTTGGGCAAATAGTATGTGTGTCTCCATTGAAATCTTATACTGAGCCTCACAGATGTTCAAGATAGGCCTTGAGGGAAGTTATAAGAACAGAATTATTATAGCAGAACATTGAAAGTATCTATTTTTTTCTTTGAAACATTATGTTCTATACAAATAATGGAACAGTACTTATCCAAGATTGTTTGAAGCCTATGAAACATGGAGAAATACTTATGAAGAATACAAAATGGAATGCAAATTTAGAATATATCTATTCTATCTATGTGAAAAATGCACATAGAAATAAATGAAATAGTCCACAGGATGGTAGGATTAAGGAATCTTCTCATTTTCAAATTTCAAAATATTTGTACTGCTACATTTAGCTCTATGATTTGAATAAAAAACAAGAATACAACTCACTAAGTACCTATTTCCACACCAGTATAGCCGTTGCTAATGGAGAAATGTTCTAGCTGACAGGCGGCTCGGCCTCATTGGCCTTCCTGTCCACCCTCAACAGGGTTTCCTTCTCTGCTTCATAGTGGGAGGATAGCCACAGAGCACAGTACAGATTAAGATCAAATATCTGGACAAGAAATATTGTACAGAATAAGTCTGTAAAAATGGACAGTTTAGCACTACAGAGAGGTAAATTTGTGAAATTCTGTAGAGAAACTTTGCATGACATTGCCAGCTTCATGAATTCAATTCTCCTGCCACTGAAGAGGGGACAAGGGAACAAGCGAGATCCAGCATTGGTAAGTCACAGGGCTCTGGGGGAGCCTGAGTCCCAAGAGGTGAGCAGATATTTGGGAGACAATGAAAAGAGGGCAAGGCAGGGCGGGTGCTGGAAGGGAGGACGAGTGCTAAGGCAGAGCCTTGACAGGGTGCTCATGTCTCTGAAAGTCTGCATGAAGTTCTGTGTGGTCCCCCTGACAAATCTTAGAGAGCAAAAGTGGAGGCAGGAAGATCAACTGGAAGATGGTTGAAATCTTTAAACAGGGAAAAGATGAGGGTCTGAGTGGTGAAGATAAAGAGATGAATTTAAAAGGTCTGAGGAGAGAGAATCAACAGGACTCATCAGAAGTCAAGGCTAACAGCCAGGATGGTGGCTGGGCGTCTGAGTGTGTAAGTAGGACCAACACGGCCAGACAAGTCTCTAGAAACCAACAAGGACTTGGGATTCGTTTATATTTTAGATTTAATACTATCTGCTTTATTCCTAGGTTACAATCCCATGGGGATCATGATAATTTATATTTACATTTTATGTTTATATAAGCGGATCTCTGTAGTTACATAATTAAAGGAAAAAATCCCACGATCAATTCCAGGCCCTTTTAGATATGACCTTTTGTACATAGACGTAAGTTTGCAGTCAAATCCAGGGGCATTTATGAATAAATAGTGACCTCCAGTGTTTGGGTGCAGAAATAAAGATTATAAAATACCAACACTCCTGGGAGAGTACTTGGAATTCCAACTACAAATAACATTTCCTACACTTCAATTCAGAACCCTAGGGTGCTTCAGCAATAAAAATATTGTCTGGCTAACTGTTGGCCTATGGCTGCCTGGACAACTCCTAATGAATATTCTACAGAACACGTGTCAGAATGGATTAAGTGGCCTCAATCATGGGCGCATAGCTATGAGATGGCCTTTGCCCTCTTTGCTCTAAGGTCCAGGTTCAACTACTCCAAAGAAATGAAGTGAGGGTAGATTTATTGCAATAAATTTGACTAATACAAATTCCAGCTCTGTCTGATTCCACCTAAGTCAACATTACATTAAATAAAGTTTCCTCTCCAGTAGATTCCAGGCAATGTGGTTGGCGGATATTCCCTTTTGAATAGCTGTGTGGCTAGAGCAAGTTCATGAGAAATTCTTGTAAATTCTCTGCACCATAATAACTCCTTCAACTGGAGTTGCTTCATCGTGAGGAAGTAACCATCTCACATCTTGGCCAATAGTCGCTGCAGTTGCTGTCAGGTGGCATCTATTTTCTGCAGACGGGAAACTAGGTGCTGGCTCTTTGGAGACATGCTTCTGTCCCATTCTATACTAAATTTAAAAAAAATAAAACACGTAGCTTTGCAGAGAAGTAAAGAACAGGGTGAGCAATGAAGTTGTCTTGAAAGGATAGAGCTTACTTCATGAAAACAGCATCTTTTTCATGAACCTTGTTTTTAAAGTGAGAAGAGACTTAGTGGCCAAGCACAACATAAAAGGCAAATCTTTAATGCCAACAGAATTCATTTGACTTGTTTTGGGCAATGAGAAGCAATTAACCCTCAGCATTCTTAGTACAAGGATGCATGGAGGAGCAGTAGAAACCATGGATTCAAGTTGTGCTATGACACAGAGCAGAGTGACACAGGGAAGCTTCCGAGGTGGTTGCTTCAGGGACCTGAAATTCAAGGAAACAGAGGCTCAGAAATTAAGTAGAGTTTAGGAGCCAAATCATGGCATTAAGAAGGGATACGATCGTGGGCTGCCTGTGCCCTGGTCATTGATAGTGCAGGGAGAGGAACTGCGAAAGCATTTCCCCGTGTTTGGAGGGTCCACCCATGTCCCTTCCAAACCCTGGCGCTTTCGGACATGTAAAAAAGAAAAAAAAAAAAAAGAAGGGATACGACCCTACAACACAATTTGTTCAACCATAAGGCAATGGCAATCACAGTCTTGCTCCTGATTTGTTGTAGCCACAGACAAGCTTACTGTTGTCTGTAGCCCCAAACATAGTAGAAATAAAAAGAGTATACAACTTATCTCTTGACAATACAGATGTAAAAGTTTTTTCAGCCCTGGCCGGTGTGGCTAAGTGATTAGAGCAGTGATTCCCAAAGTGGGCGCTACCGCCTCCTGGTAGGCGCTGCAGCGATCCAGGGGGGCAGTGATGGCCACAGGTGCATTTGGGGGCGATGAGTAATTGCTATTAAAATTTAAAAAAAAATTAATTTCCAGGGGCTGAGTAATATTTTTTCTGGAAAGGGGCGGTAGGCCAAATAAGTTTGGGAACCACTGGATTAGAGTGTCAGCCCACACACCAAAGGGTTGTGGGTACAATTCCTGGTCAAGGGCACATACCTGGGTTGCATGTTCGATCCCCAGCCTTGGCCCTTGGGTACTTGTGGGAGACAACCAATCGATGTCTCTCTCTCACATTAACATTTCTCTCTTTCCTTCTCTCCTCGACTCCCTCCCTTCCTTCCATTCCCTCTAAAATATCAATGGAAGAATATCCTTGGGTGAGAATTAACAAAAATAAATATTTTTCCTAACCTGAAAAGGCCTAAGATTTCAAAAAGAATAAAAAGTACAGAAACCAGTCACCTTTATCCAGACGTTGCATACAAGTTTTAGTGATTGTACTTAAAGTTTGTTTAGGTCAATTTTTTTTCTTCCTGTCATTATTTTTCTTGATTTTATTTTTAAAACTTCAAACTTACAGAAAAACTGGACGAATAGTACAATAAATACCTAATTAAGTCTCAAATGTTGAAGCACAAATCCCCAATGTGATGGAATTCGGAGGTGCGGCCTTTGGGAGGTAATTAGGTTTAGATGAGGTCAATGAGGTTGGATCCCCCATTATGAGAATAGTGCTCTTATAAGAGAAAGACCAGAGTCCCCTCTTTCTCCACCATGTGGGAATACAGCAATAAGTCGACCTGAAAACCAGGAAGAGGGTCCTCATAGGCACCAAGTCTGCCAGCACCTTGATCTTGAACTTGCCAGTCTCCAGAACTGTGAGAAATAAATGTTGAATACCACCTAGTCTGTGGTATTTTTTATAGCTGCCTGAGCAGACTAAGACAAATGTTCTATAATCCATTATCACAATTTTTTTCTTTAGTCTCAAATTCTCCCAAATTTGGCACTTGAAGCCAATTTTTGTGTCCCATCAGTCTTTGGGCATTCTCTTCTCTTCTGACTCAAGATGTTCCAAACTCACCTTACACTTTATTTACCTCAAACACGGAATCAACCAACATTTTTGGTTCTGTGGAAAAGTATTTAGAAAGCAAGACCAAGGGAACTAGGTATGCTCATTATTACTAGGTTAGTGCTTCTAGACTAGAGGATGAAGCCAGATCTGGGAGAGGGGAAGGGAGGGGTAATATTGGGATGAAAGAGGAAAATACATACACCTACACACACATTCACACAAATATCTCCAGTTCAAAATCAATAAAACAGGGTTCTTTAACTTCTTTCATTTTGTATCTCCCTTCTTCCATAGTGAGTAACTTGATTTACAATAACATCAACAAATATGCTCATTTTTAAACCTACAAAATTATTCCAGGGTTACTTATTTAAATCAGTCTCAGAAACATTTTCACCTTTAAAGTTGAATTTAGCATCAGTCACCAAATCATCCCACAGTGTTCTGCCGAAGTCACACATAATAGACTAACAGCAAGCAGAGATAATTAACTATACACAAGTCAAGACTCAAACTGGACAACTAAGCAAGGGCTGCCTTTGGTTTCTCTAGAGAACCAAAAAGGACAGAGTTCAGAACAGATGACTGAAGGCTTCCATTTCCACTTGTCAAAGATTATGTAAGCCATTTTCCTTTTCCAAATCTATCCTGTGTGATGTTCGGCAGTTGTTTCAAAATAATCCAGTAGGGTGGGAGGAAGAGTAAGGAAACAGCCTATCTTTAAAATATTGTCAAAGGAACTTACATTATTTTTGGCAACTTAAGGTCCTAGTGTCTTAAAGACTAAACCGTAATAGCTAGATTACCCTGCAATAAATAAAAGATTTTACCAACTGTGGAATGGAAAAAGAGTGACTTTAATCCTGCCTATCATTTTGCCAAATAACTCTGTCATTACAGGAAGATTGAATAATTAAAATATTCTTATATTTTGTATGTTTCCCATTCCCCTTGGGATCAGTGGTTTAAATTCCCCTCATAGTCCAATGTGAAAACCCTCAGGTCACAGCATAATGAGGCATCTGCCACAGCCAGCTTTCCTGAGGCAAGGCCTGATTTAATACAACAAATGGTGTTATAAAAGGGAGCCAAAAACTTGCGAAATCCAATTATGCAAAACACAAAAATAGGAAACATGATCAAGATCTGCAACAATTTTGGTGTATTTCTGAGGGAAGAACATATGAAAGGTTTTCTAGGTAAGAAGGAAGTTGAACTTTGAAAACAGACTTATCACTTTTAAAGCATAAGAATGAATTAAAAATGTCTAGAAGACAAACATTGATGTGCATGAGTAGAAACTGCATTTTCATAAATTTGTCATAATCCAAGGTGAGAAATAATCTGCAAAAGAATCTAATCTAGTTGACAGATATCAAGCTATATTACAAAGCCACTGTCCTGAAAACTGCCAGGTACTAGCACAAGAACAGACATATAATATATCAACCAATGGTACAGAATGGAGAACCCAGAAATAGACCCAAGCCATTATGCTTAATTAATATTTGACAAAGGAGGCAAGAGCATACAATGGAGTCAAGACAGTCTCTTCAATAAATGGTGTTGGGAAAATTAGACAG